TTTGAGACTTGCCTCAACACGGTCCATCTCCCCTTCATCCTCCAAGCTTTCTTCGTCAGTGCCTTCTGCATGGTGACCTCTCACTGGCGCTGTCTGTACTAAGTCTTTCATAGCCTCAGCAATACGTTGCTGGACAGACCCATCCAATTCCCTGATGCGCTGGTCGAAGTGCTGGCACAACTGTTAATTGCCAGCCTCACATTGGTGAGTTATCATTTGTGCTATCTGCTGCTGACGCACTGCGTCTAATTTCTCCAGTTCAGCAATACGCTGGTTGAGCGCCTTGATCAGTGAAAGAACTGCAGTCTTTGATAACTTGCCAGTCTCTCCTGCCTTTGAGTCCGGAAGTGCCGTCATTGACGCTGGCCCTCCCTGCTGCAGTTACCGGATGACCATAGCTCATAGGAGGTGCACTGAATGCCCCTGCATTGCTAGGCCTTCACCCAATGCATCTAGGAATTGTCCTGCTGGGTAAGAGAGGTCCATGTTGTGCACAGTAAGGAGGAGGAGAGAGTTGTTGAGCTCATCTTCATGCCGCAGTAGTTATGTCGTGTTTGATGCATATGTCGAAGATGTCATGTAGCAACAGCTTTTGGAAGCCCAGAATCTTTGCTTCAATGTAATCTAAGAATAATCTTACAATAATGTCAGAGAAATGCATAGCGTATTTTGGGAAATGATGTCTAATTCTGTAAATCCCTTCACACTTTCAACTGGTAGAATTTTGTGGATAATCTCGGGATAATCTTGGGTAATCTCAAACTTTTCTCTCATTAACCTCCCTTCATATTCTGTGGCTTTACACTGTGAAAGCTGGCCTGACCTAAAAGTCCTCCATCAAGACTCATTCTCATCCAAGCACTGCAGCATATACGAGGATGAAGCGCCTTTTCATGTGGGCCATAATCAAGCTCTATGAAGAAGGCAGTATCATGCTCTATGACAGACCTTTGCCCCATCTTCTGGCTCCATTCTGGTCTTGAGCCTGATGTTTCGTCTCCTGGCCTTTCTTCAGCCAAGCGCATCATTCCTATCCACCAATGTATGAGGAAGACAAGGCCTATGTTCCCGTGACACTGACGCTCCTCGCCACACCTGTGCAGGAAATCATGCTTTACCTTGTAGCATTTTCTCATTACTCTTGTCTTTACCGTAGATTTGAACACATAGGGAGCTCCTTCGAGTACACGTGTTCTGATGGCTGCTAGCCCCACAATTTAATCATTTAGACCACACTTGCTGAGAAGATCACAAAGTGAGATGGTCATTGACTAATGCTGTGCACACTAATTAGTAATGAGACATGTCCAGGCCAGTTGTCTCTTCATGTTCTCTTTGTAGATTTTGATGGCATGAAGTCTAACCCCTCTACACTGGTAAAGACGACTGTGGTTCAGTGGCAAGCACAGTATGGAGATATACCTGCTGAATAGTTTGTTTGGTTGGACGAGTCAAGTGTAGACAACAAAACAAACCAGCATATGGAGGGCTGGGCTCCCATTGGCCTTGCTTGTGTTCATTGAGCAACCTTCATTCGAGACCAATGTTTCTCTGTATTGCCTGCATTCTCATGTGAAGGCATCATCACACTTGACATCTTTGAGGGCTTGGTGAACAAGGAATGGTTCATGAAATTTCTCAATGATGATCTTGTGAGTACCACACCTGATAACAGCTAATGTCAGTACTCAATCATTTGTCATGCAGGCCCCAAAGCTTTCACCCTATCCTGGCCTTCGTAGTGTAGTAGTGATGGACAACTATGCCATTCATCACGATGCAGAGGTCCGTGCTATTGTCGAAGGGGAATGTGGTGTTTGCATGTGTGTGTTATGCGCTAAACCCAGCAAGGGGTATTTGAAGCATGGCCTTTGGCACTAGCCCAGCAAGGAGCTTGCCTGTGCTAAGTCTAAGTAAGGGTTTGAAGCCCTTACTTGTGTAGAGTTGATTGGAAAGTCTCAAGGATACAATCCAAGAGAATGGAGTTCAACTCAAGAGTATTGTCTCAAGGCATAGGGCTCGGTAGAAGCTGCAGCTTCTATGATATAGGGGAAAGAAGTGAGAGTTTCTCGCGTTTCAGAACAACCAGATCAAAAAGAAAAGAGATGAGAAAAAAATCATAACCATGGACTAGGTCTGGACAAGTCTGCACAGTTTAGCCACATGTCAGTGGTTGACAGAACAAAGAAAATGAAATAGCCCATAATGCTCATCCCGCTCTCAGATCTCAAAGTTGTTTTGAGTTTTTTTTTTCAGTCGCAATGATCCAGAGAATGTGCTCATACTCTGTTAGTTGTGGTGATTGAGCACCTTATGGTGCGAGTTATTTGTGTTATGATGTTGCTTCCTCTATTGGACTCTCACTTAGCATGTGATGTGAATTCCTTACTTACTTAGGCAGTGTTTACACTTGTTTACATAGACTTGCCCATAGGTAGCAAGTCCTGTGTTGGTTGCTCTTCAGCAACTGACACTGGACTATAGTCCTGTTCACTCTCATTAGCTCACTTGTGGCTTGGTTCACTTGGTTATTCTAACATGATTATCTTCTGCACTCAATGACTTGTTGTATCAGCTAGTTGGATGGATGGATACGTGTGCAGCATACCAGTGTCCTAAGAGAGATATCTCGCATGAAGGCATGGAAAAAGGTGACTTCAATCTTTCCATTTCCATGATTGTTCGTGGTGTAGCTCTTGAGTACCTTGTTCAGCCGTTTAAAGAGAAACGTCCAAAACCCATAGACAGGTCCATAATCATGCAACTGGTCGAAAATATGAGTCAGGTAGTGATGGTTTGGCTTGACATTGTCGTTATGTATCTCAGAAGTAAGACGTCAGAGTGTGTTACAGAATGAGGAGCCATTTGTTGAACATACCTTGATGAAACTGGTTAGATACTGGTTCAAAAGGAACTTGGCTCGTGGCATGTCAGCATCATTCACAGAACGACCAAGAATCAGTTTGAGAGCTGCAGTGAGGTGAAGAAAATTTTTTCGCATCGTCAGGATGCATCCTCTCGACTGGTTTTGCTGATGGTTCAGCATCTTTCTTTGTGCCTTTGCCCTTTGCGATCCGATTGAGACGCGCCTTCTCCCGCTTGTCCCAGTTCTGAAGGTCCTTCTTGTTCTGTTCCTGATTCTTGGGTGACCATTCCTCCCATATCAGTGGAATCTAAGTGTTAATGAGAACAATGATATGACTTTGACATATGATTGACTTACGATAATCGGACAGAAAACCAATGCCAATCCTTTCCATTCATCAGACGTGAGAGATCCTCCTGCGGGATAGCCGACTTGCTCTGGAAGACGAGCCTCCCAAGGGGGCATTTCAAACTGGTTAATATTAATTGTTAGAGTTGTACAAGTTGAAAATAACGAACAGGGTACTGCGTCCAAATACGTGTGAATCTGATCTAGTTCTCTTGGGACACCAAGAGTTTTTGTGCGCTTACGAAGTGTGTTGGTCTTGATCCAGGAATCAAACCACTGGGTTCGAACAATCCCAAGAAGGATGTTATGCATGGGATCAATTATCATCATCCTCACAGGATCAAAGTACTTGAGGCGTGCCAATTCAAACCACTGGGTTGAGTTTGTCTTGAAGAATTCCTCGCGTGCCTTGTCCGACTCTAGTCGACAATACTCCTCTGCCAGTCATTTGTGATCTTGTCCATCTCGGGCAGGATATGCTGTAAGGTTGCATCTATTAATCAAGAAACTATGAACTTGACTATTACGCACCATCATACATCATGGCTTGTTCAGTTTTGAGATCTGCATGTGGTATATGGCAGCGGGTACAAAAACCTTCAGATTTACTGTGGTCTGCAAAGCCACAGACCTTGCACATGGCTGGATGGTTGCAACAGACAGCAACTAAGGCAACACGAATGTGCCGCCCTTGAACTTTGTTAGCTGGGCATCATCTGGAGGCAGTGGAGGGATATTACCGTTCAGAAACAGAGGAGTTTTCACTTTGATACTATGGTCACACAGGTGTATGAGGTCAGTAACGTAGTCTTGCATAAAATATTGCAGTTGATCTCTGTCACTTTCCTTTGGTCCTGGTGTGATTCCAAATAGAAGAAGATTACGAGGCCAATACCTAGACATATAAATAAATAAATCAGATGTTTTCTAAAGTACAAGAATACGTACTTCAAATGGTTTGGAAGGTTTGCGATACATGTTGATAGTATGCCTGAGCTATGAGATGCCGAGCTACGACTGCGCTGGTAATTGAATCTCCATGTCAAAGGCAAACATCAATGAAAATAACATATTGCAAAAGAAAGAAGCTCTCACCCATCAAATCCCAGAGTGACACCAATTCGCAGCTCATCAGGATCAGATCGGTCAATGCTGTTATCGAAAAACGGTGTCTGATCATGACCTGGGAGTGTTTTCCATATATCACCATCCTGAATACATGTCCGCTTGCCCGGCAGAGATGTAGTTCAACTGCACCAGGCATCCAATTCAGGCTCTATCCCTTCTTGATGGATGAGATGGAGTAAGGCACTCGAGAGGGGGTTTCGGGGGCATTGAAGGCATGGTTTTGGCTTGCCCTCCTTTGGCCCTTGTGCATCAGGTAGCACATTCCCATGTTCGGGTCCCAGGTATGACGAAGAGGATGTAAACAAAGTCTCATCGCACTTCAGACATCGGACATCTGGAGGGGAATCGTGTGGAAACACACGACAACACTTGATGCACATGGCATCAATTCGAAATGTGTCAGTGAGTCCAGTGTGACCAAAGGCTGTCGTCAAGGTTTGAGCGGTGTTATCTTTCACTGTCAAAAGACCAACAGCGATGAAAATCGTGTAAAGAAGCTTGAGAACCAAATTACAGGCCTGATATGGCACATGGTAGTGCAGGTGAAGGTGAGCCACAAGCAGAATGATTACCCTCCAAAACCAATGTGACGAGATAGCGTCAAATACATCCTTAGGCTTTGGAGGCGGTTCGTGTATAATATCAGGGCATCTGGGATCAGGTGCATCGAATGCTGGCATTTCTGAAGCTTCAGCTGGTGCAGGAGAATCTGAGCGAGTTGGAGAGGCTGGCCATGAGTGCTGGATCAGTGGAGGCACTAGAGGTATTGGGGAGATGGTCCGTGAACGATAAAATAAGTTAAGACCAGGGGAAGCACCAGCGTCAGAGTTGATATCCTAGTCGTCTGTGTCCCCGTAATGAGGCTCAGAGTCGAAGTGGAGACTCTGCCCGTCATCTGTTTTCCACCCTTCTTCGTCCATATCATACCCATGTCCATCCATATCAAAGGTTTCTTCGTCCACATCAACAGCGTCCATGATGGGTGCTTCATCCACATCCATGGGAAACTGTGGATATACTGGAGACGGTGCGCGACTATTGTGAATAATCAGAAAGTCATTCAGCAGTCCATCGTGTGATATCTCGTTGATAAGGTCTGCTGAGGGAACAAGCTCGATGTGACTCAAAGGAACATCAAGAGATAAATTGACCTTACCTGGTGTGCTAGAGTTTTCGGCTTGTTCAGCCTTCTGGGCTTTCTTCTCTGCTTTCAAGCGCATCTTCCGTTCCTTATCGGTGCTCTTGTGTTGTCTCCATTTCCACTTCGGAATCATCTTACCCTCTGGACACTCAAGTTCACACACCAAGCACAGGCATTCTTCAAGCTTCGCATCATAAGAGTACTGATTTTTCCATCAGCCCTTCAATCCAGTGGCCAAGTTGTAAAAGCTTACCCGAGTCTTCTCACTGGCTCCCTTGGATTTGTCTTTGCCACTGCGAACCATCAAAATAACAGAGCTGCAGCACAAACTATGGTGGTGATGCTGGGGTTGAGGGCAAAGGGTGCACGTACTCGAGCAACGAAAGGACTTAGAGAGAAATTTTCACAAGTTCGACTAGCGGCGGCATTCGAGGATCGTTGGCTATAACAAGTTTTATCGTCATCGAAGATACATACATACATTCAATTCCCACATCTTGACGCAAGTCTCGACTACCCTGATACTGCGAAGCTTGAAAAGGTGTGCAAGATAGTTGTCAGATCACCTTTTTGAGAGTTGCAGAGTCGACATCGAGGAAGCATCAGGTATATCAGGGAAGACCATAGTTTTCAAATGTGATGGAGACTACAATAAGGTAATCTAGACACATGATTCACAGAGGTTGAACGACCATGTACTGACTAATCTATCCAACTGTCTCACTAGATCGTTCCAAAACGCAGTGAATGAGATTCTTATCATTGAAACCAGTGTCCAGGAGATGCTCAATGCTACATTGGTTTCTGTGGACACACCTGATCACCCTGCTGTTCAATTCTCTCAGGCAATTCATACTGGTCACCATGAGCATCCCTGTGTAGAGATTAATCCAGATATGTTGAGCATTGCACTTACAATGTGAGGACCTTGTTGAACCTGGTCCACCTATCTATGTTGACTTTGTCAATGAGGATGGTCATGAAACTAGATTTTATACTCAAGCATCGAGGGATCACTCTGGACTTTCTGATGATGAACTCGACTACATTACTTGGCAGATACTTGAAGTTTTCCCCCATTTTGGTAGGAGGATGATCAATGGGCATATGTGATTTCTTGGACATTGAATCCCTCGCCAATGAATCCATGTGTCATATAAACAGTGTCCATGGTCCTCCTACAGGTTCATTTGGTCCTTGACAGATCCAGCATTGAGTCTATAAGGTAGTGGGGCCCAACTCACTGAGCCACCATGATGGCCAGCATGGTTAGTTGTACCATCCTGTTTCACATATCTGAAAGTCATTGCTCACTGTTGGATTGATCATAAGGGCTGATGCAATATCAAGTTGTTTTTCATGCCTTCACAGATGGGTTTTCCCAGGTCATTACTGGCATCAGGGCCAGTAATAACAACCGTGCAGAAACTGTCCTTGATTTGTTCACAGAGATCATTGAGATCCATGGCTTGCCTAGTCATGTACAAGGAGATCATGGCACTGAAAACTTGGGTGTTGCTCATTATATGGAGGAAGAACGAGGTTTGGGGCCAGGATCTTATATCTGGGGCCGGTAAGAACAATTGAGCATTGTTTGGCTCCAAGTGGAAGGACTTCTTTCAGTGTCTTGAGGCACATGATGGCCTCAATCCTGATCTAGAAAGTCATATGTGGCTCTTGCACCACCTCTTCCTAGATGCCATCAATGAGGATGCTTTGGAATGGGCAGAAGCATGCGACACAGCAGTCCAAGAGATATGTTTTTCTTTGGAATGATAGAAAATGGAGTGCATGGTTTTGAGCAGCTTGAAGACGATGAAGACCTGGATGATCCAGCATCATATGGGATCAACTGGGAATCTATCAATGACCATCATATAATTGATCACCATCATGCAAACAACAAAGATGATGAACTCAGCAAGAATCCTTTCCTCACTCACTGCCCACAGCAGTTCTCGGAGGTCATGGTTCCAGAGGCAGACAGTCCACTTTCGCTCAAGCAAGTGGAGTTTCTTGGAATACAGCTCGAGGCTTTGATACCAGGTCACTCCCACAGCATGGAATCCAGACATCTTATTTGGTTTACAGCTTCACAGATTTGTAGAAATTTTTTATGGACGAGAATGGTGTACTGTAGCTTATATGTGTACTTACATGTTGTCCGCTGCCACAGACAAGTCAATGCCAGATGATGGCGACAAAGAAACAAGAAACAGAGAAGGAGATGTGAAACTGTGCGAAATTTGCAAGCAGTTTGAAACATTTTTTTGGGGATGTAGATGGCTAAGTCGTGGTTGAACGATTAGTTTGCAAAGAGAATTCGAGGATAACGCAGAATACACACCTTACTGGAAGACTTGAACAATCACTTGTGCAACCCTCCCAACCCAAAATTAAATGTCAACCACAAGTCCACTGTCTCAACTACCAGCCCTCCCTCCCAATCTTGCGTGGATTAAATCCATGTCTAGTTGTTCTAAGTGGGGCTTGTTGTAAGTTACATTCTAGGTGAAAAAAAAAGAGTACGTACTGAATGGTGTCAAGTATCTTCGTGGAGACTTCTTGCAAACTTTTGAGAATCAGCATCAAAAACCTGCTGCATACAATGTCATGAAGTTTCCAACCCTCTGGTGTGGAACACCTCATGCACGTCAATTTGCATCACCCTCTCCCGCCCCCATGTCTCCCAGCCATTTGAAGTAACTCCCAAATCCCCGGCCTTGTTTTACGACAGCCACTCGGCATTTAGTATGCAGAGGCTGCTGAGTTGTGAGGGGCAGGGCAAGCTGCCATCAGACATTGCATGCAGCATGTCAATGCCTTCTTTGACAATGCACAATACATCATCATCGTTGGACTGCCACATGTCTCCAACTCTACAGACCTTGTTGCCAAACAGCACAGGCAGCTCGAAGAAAAAAGCCAAGTCCGACATCATGCAGAAGGTAGACCTAGTCCAGGACGGGATTGAGAGCCTGCAGTCCAGCACCCTGTCGCGCCATGAGAGCAAGCATCAACAGTTTCTCGCAAAGCTTGACACAAAGAGCGAGCACCATCAGGACACCAAGAAGTATGACTGGCTTCATGCCAACCGCGAACACGAGGTCAATCAAGTGGCTCTCATCCATCAGCGCCAACAGGAGGACAGAGATGCAAAGATTCGCCTTTGTGAGGTGGACATACGGGTGCATGAAGCACATTCCCTTGTGCTCAACAAGGAGGCTGAAACTTTACGGCTCAAGATACAATTCCAGCAGATGATGCAGGCCACAAAGGACTTGGGGTTGGATGTGTGAGCTTGTTTGTCATTGTTGTGTTTCATTTGTTGCATCTTGTTTGTCATCACCGCATCTTGTTTGCCATTGCTGCTTCTTGTTTGCTGTCACTGCTTCTTGTTTGCCGTCACTGTGTCTCATGTGTCATCATTGCATCTCATTTGTTGTCATCATGTTTTTTTGTCATTGCCGTTATATTTATTTCATATGTTACATAGCTACATACACATAGCTATATACATATACATATGTTGTACAGATTCATTTGTGGTAGTACATGTCAAATTAGATCTGAGAGAAATCATTCTGCCCTACATTGGGCATTTGAGTAAGGACTATCAAAGAGCATATCCATCAGCTTTGCACGAGCACCCTGACCTGGAGTGCCTTCATATGTCCTGTCACCAACTACTTCATCACCATCTAGACCCTCAGGCTCCTGAACAAAAAAGTCTTCCCCCTCATCATGAGCCCAATTGAGAGAGCTCTTGTATGTTCCATCTTGCTTCTGGTGATGAATTTTGAAGCGAATGATCATGTTGTGCAGGATGATACAACATTTAATCCACTGCACCACAAATTCAAGGTCTTTCTCAGCCTGAATATGGAAGCGGAGTTCTCGAAGGGACTGGAACCGCCCCTTTAAGACAGCAGATGTGTGTTTAACACGAACACAAATCTAAATAAATTTCAATTTAAATTCATTAAAAAACCACAAAAAAAAACCTTAGAGGAGTGATAATTAAACTTCTTCTTGTTAGTTGTGGTGATTGAGCACCTTATGGTGCAAGTTATTTGTGTTATGATGTTGCTTCCTCTATTGGACTCTCACTTAGCATGTGATGTGAATTCCTTACTTACTTAGGCAGTGTTTACACTTGTTTACATAGACTTGCCCATAGGTAGCAAGTCCTGTGTTGGTTGCTCTTCAGCAACTGACACTGGACTATAGGTATAGTACACTCATTAGTTTACACAACACAATAGCAACTGACACTGGAGAATAGTCCTGTTCACTCTCATTAGCTCACTTGTGGCTTGGTTCACTTGGTTATTCAATGGTCATCAGGCAGAAGGTCAGCATGCTCTTCATATAGGCAGGTAGATCAAAATGCGAATGTGTTGTGGACACTCCCAGGATGACCAAGGGAATAGTCAACAATTAGGAGGTTATCGACAAAACCAGATGATATTCCACATCCATCTGACCCATCCTAAACCCATCTGCGGGTATCCGTCTCCCATCTGATGCTTGCCCATGCACGCATGGATGATCTGTCACTCGCATGCGTGGTCAGATGCAAGTGCATGCGCTCGGATACGTAATAAGGTGCATCAGATTGTTTCGGAATGTTTCAGGTGTACATGTAATAGTGAGTGCGTTCAATACAAGTCATGGACTCATGGGCAATACGCATGGTCGGTTAGCAAGCGGGTTTTTGCCCATATATTAGAGGTGCTTTGGTACATACTTTCCCTCAGTCGTTTCTATCGCCTCCTTTGGCAGCGGCTGAGGTATGTCTTCACTTACATTCATTTATACCACAGTGTAGCTAATCTAGAGTAGTGTGGATTCCATCCGCTTTACTTAGGTGAATACAGTTATTTCTATCGCCTCCTTTGGCAGTGGCTGAGTGCGGATTCCATCCGCTTTACTTAGGTGTATCCACGGACCCAATCCACATTGCTTAGGGTACTAATGGATCGCATCCGCTTCACTCAAAGTTTTGTCAGTTATGGGGCAAAATTACAGCCTGAAGTTGAATTGATTTTGAGCACATAAAAATAAAATATACTTGACAGCCCAGGTAATACTTGGATTTCATATCAAAAAATGTCTCCCCATAATAGCCAGGTTTAGCAAAAAGATCCATGGTTGAGCCATCAATAGCCAGAAAGCCACCCTTCCACTCAGGACAAGTACGTGACTTAGCAAATTTATCAGCCAGGTCAATGTCCTCAGAGTCAGCTGTGGGGAAGCAGATAAACTGATCATGGGCATCAAGTACTGTGACCATCACACAATGAGTGCAATTAACCACAGACCCGACACTCACACCCGCCCACTGAGTAACATCCTGAAGAGTAATGGCATTGCCATAGTGGCCAGCCCAATTCAGGAAAATGGCAAGCTGAATAGAGATAGGGAGCTGAGGATTGTTGGACCCGTTTTGAAAAATAGGGTGACTAGAGATATGATCAAGAATATCATCAAAAATCTCTGGGTTGACTTGAAGTTTCTGCCGAAACAACTCAGGGCAGTGTTCTTCATGGTGAACCAGCATATGAAGCTGAGGAGCTTGTGGGGGAGGCTCATCGGGCTTGTGGAGTACATGTGCCCTCTCAACCTCGTCATGTAAAGCAGCAATGGTGTCATGGAGCCTGCCATAAGGCAAAGCACAATCGCTGGAAGATAGGGAGCTATCGCTGGAAGAATCTGAAATCCCTGTCATAGGGGAGAGGGGGGTGAAAGGGAGCTAAAAGACAGATTGATAGTGCTAATATCATCCAAAGTAGAAGAAAGCAAGTCCTCAGAGTCAGACTCAGAGTCGGTGCCAAAATCACTGTCAGAGTCAGACAAATCATCCAGAATATCCTGGTACTGTAGTTTGGCCAATGAAAGTGTAGCCTGATCCACAATATCCAGGATTTCTTTATGTGTAGATTGACGAGGCATAGTTACAGTCGAATAGAAGGGGGGGGGGATCAAAACTCCTATCTATTCCATGCATATGTGATGTAGTTTGTGTCAGAGTTTTAATTTTCGGAAAGATCTGAACTTTCGTTTCTCATGCTGAGCATGTTGCTGCCGTTGTCAACCTCACTCTCAAATGTCGATGCTCACTCGTAGCACTGAGCCAGACATCATCACATTTCCAGGTGGCATCCACCCAAGGTAAGTTTTTTTTTTGTTTATTTCAAGTTGCAGCTAACTTTTATTTTACAGGAAATCTATTCTTGTCTGGCAGGTCCCATACCACATGACCCCCAGTACCTCATCTTTGAGCTGCCCCTCCACCACCTTCTACACCAGCCTTCTAGAGGAGCCGTCTTTGTGTTCATTCCGATCCGGCTGGCTTGAGGCTCTTGCCAATCTTGTGCAAGGCCCGGCACTGACTACAGATGCTGTATCTAAAGTGGCCACGGATATCGAGCCAGAGAAGGAGTGCTTGGGAAAGAGTTCACCCTTCACCTGGTATTCTTTCATTTCCCTACCTATGGTACCCAGTATCTTTCTCCCCCTCCTCCTCCCCCCCTTAATATTACTTGGCTCGTTCTGTCTGTTAGGTACCGTGCTGGCTCAAGAGGCAGAGGGGTCAGGGCTTGGCTTCAGCTCTTGCACTGCGCCCTTAGCTGAGTACGTGCCCCAAATTTGGAGCGGGTCTGACGTTGTCCGACGATAGGATGAATGGACCACTTGGGTCCGCTTTGAGGGTCGGGGAGTAAGAGCTGCTAGTGGTGGGCCGACTAGAAGCGGAGCGGAGAAGACAGCAGTTGATGCGGAGGGTGGATAGGGGCAGGGGGAATGTTTGGCAGAGGTGGAGAAGGTGGGGGATGATGCAGAGGGGCAAGGGAGAATATTGGACAGGGGCGGAGTATATGGGAGAGACTTAGAGCACAGCTCTAAGTCGGAGCGGAGGGTCGGAGGGTCGGAGGTGACAACAAGTTGAAACTTGTGTCCAGAGGGGGCAAGGTCCTACTGAGAATTCTCACAAGTAGTAACTGCAAGAAGACAAGTAATATTAAGACTAAGGAAAAATATCTAAGTACAGGATATGTTATATACTTCTATGTGAGGCAGTGATCAGGATAACTATGTAGTAAAGCTATGTACCAAGGATATAGTTTGTAAGTACTTTACATAGGCAAAGACATAAGTCGGAGCGGATATCAATATGTACGCGTTGGATCAGCGATCGGGCGGTAATAGGAATTACCGGTGATCCGGAAGTAAGGGTCTATGTACCGAAGGGGGAAGAGTATGTCTAAAAGGGGAAAGGGATCCAGTTGAATGGAGAGGTTTATGGAAGGGGACTGGTTGAGCGGTTGAGCGGAAGCATAGGGTGGAATGCGGGTTTGTGATAGGACGGAGCGGAGGATGGATGGGGCAAGAGGGGGTCAGAAAGCGGAGCGGATATCAGTATCGGAGCTGGTTGGATCTGGTATATGACACTGTCCGGCTTTCCCTACCTATGGTACCTGGTGTCTTTCCCCCTCTCGTCCTTCCCCCCTTAGTACTTGGTTCATTCTTTCTGGCACTTCCTACCTATGGCCAATTTGTTTTTTTTTTGGGGAGCTTGTTCTTTTTTTTACAATTTTATTTAAAGTTGACACTCAAAATATGACGTGCATTGGAGCATCTACTACTTTGTCGTGAACCTACATCACAGTTACTTTTTCTACCCTCTCTAAAGTAAGACTTTCTCCTGTGTACATATCACACTTTGAAAATGCTAAGTGTTTTAATGTCCGACTTTGTGCCAACTCGCCGAGTGTTATTTAAGAGTTCTCAAACCGAGAGTTTGAAGTGTTTAGCCGGCATCTTAGCGAGTTTTCAAAAGTTTTAAAACCTATTTTGAGTACCACTATTGTGGTGGAATGACCACTGTAAATCTATTGCTCTCTCGCTCTCACCATTAAAACGGTCATTACCTATTTGCCAGGTTTCTATTATCCCACCACCATCTCATTTCCTGTCCATGTTTTCAGCCCCAAAGGTGACATTGATAGAACCAGGATGCCAATCCTGCGTAGCAGACAATACACCATGCTACGTGTATTGTTCCGAATCAGCATGCCGCAGATGCACTGAGCGTTGTTCCTTGTTACCGGGTAAGTCATCTCCAATTCTCTTTATATTCTCAACTCACAATGATTGACAAGGTCAGGACCTCCTGTAAGGCCTTTTGTCATGCACGGGATTCACACAATCAGTCGAAGCTGCAACTACTGCAAGGACATGAACTACATTTGCCGAGGAAGAACTAGTGACACATGTATCCCTTGCAAGCAACTGTGTAGCAATGGTACAAGATGATTTACTTAGTACTGTCCTGATGGTACTCACTGATTCTTGTATCAGTTGAAAAGATTGTCACTCTACGGCGAAGTGAGGCATGAGTGAAGTCTTAGAGTTTGGTCTTTGAACGAGCGGAAGAAGCCATTGGCTCTTGTTTCCGCTCCTCCACCAGCAAAGTCATCGACGGGTTCATCTCTTTGTTATTTGTGGTGATTGAGCACCTTATGGTGCGAGTTTCTTGTGTTATGATGTTGATCACTCTATTGGACTCTCACTTAGCATGTGATGTGAATTCCTTACTTACTTAGGTAGTGTTTACACTTGTTTACATAGACTTGCCCATAGGTAGCAAGTCCTGTGTTGCTTGCTCTTTAGCAACTGACACTGGACTATAGGTATAGTACACTTATTAGTTTACACAACACAAAAGCAACTAGCACTGGACTATAGTCCTGTTCACTCCCATTAGCTCACTTGTGGCTTGGTCCTCACAGTTATTCTAACACTCTTTTCTTTTCTTTTCTCTGCCACTGCTTCCACTCGTGCTTCCACTGCTGCCTCCCGCTTCTGCTACCACCCTCACTGCTTCCACTATCACACCCTCCGCCGCTTCCACCCCTGCCCTCTTCTCTGCTTCCACTACTGCTCCCTCTACCGCTTCTGCTCCCTCTCTCCCACTCCTACTAGCTTTGTCAATGCACCAGCGCGCCTGGGAATCTCAGAACCCTTCACAACACCACCACTCCCGCAATGCACCCCCCACTCGTTCATGTTTGTGTTCCCTGGTGCGCAGCCCCTCTGGTTGTCTACCATCCCACACCCCATCCCCCAACCGTTACCGCTCTCGCCAAGAGCCCCAATGGATGGGGCAAGACAAGCTGTCTTTTCAGAACGGCGCAGCATCACCTGGCCTCCATGCCTGCACTCTCTGCCTTGGACTGCTTCACCTACAATGTTCACAAGTGCAAGAGCGAGCTCCTCTGGGACAACAAAACTCCTGCCTCCTGCCAGAGGAGCCCAGAGGGCCGTCTTGTCAATTCCCAAGGCTTGCAACTCTGCTACAACTGCCACTGCCCCAATGGCTGCCAGAGTACCAGCAAAGACCACATTCACATATATTCAGGCTGCAGAAACACAAATCACGGAGCTCAGAAGTGCCCTTGAGGCCAGGAAGTTTAATGCTCTCACGCCATACCACACAGATACCTGGCACCACTTACTCAGTAAATCTGGACTCATACTTACATACTCACACATACCTCATTTCTTACAATATGGTTTTACTGGCAGCATCCCTTCTATTACTACAACGTACTCCCCACCTAATAAGCCGTCTATTGATGAACATGCTGACACTTTCGCTGCAATCCTCAACCAAGAATACAGTTCAGGAAGATACCTCAGCCCTCTCTTGCAGGCTGAGACAGAATCTCTCATCAGACCATTTCAGATGGCTCCACTGCCTATCATCCCCAAGCCGGGCAAACCCGGCAAATTTCGTCTCATCCAAAACTTATCTTATAGCTCTCTGTCTCTCTTACACCCTATTGCCTCCATTAATTCCTCCATTGACTCAAATCTTTATCCTTGTACATATGGTGCATTCTCTACAGTTTGCCTACTCATCTGGCACCTACCCCCAGGCTCCCAAGGAGCAACTCATGACGTGGCAGAGGCGTATAGGACCATACCCCTCCACCCGACCCAGTATCCAGGTCTCGTCGTCCACATGAGCAAAGACAATTTTGCTATTGATACCAGTTTTTGTTTCGGGTGCTCCTCAGGAGCCGATATCTTCCACAGCAAAGGAATCGGCCCCCTGTTGAAATGGGTCGACAACCATCTATTCCTGTGCATCCTCTGGGAGCACCTGGAAAGGTACAACGAGCAGCAAAAAACCTGGGTCCAGAGCATACACGACCAAGGAGGTCTGTGCACTGACGGCGGTCAAAAATGGTACCAGGGCTCACCCCTACCTAATAACCAGCCAGAAGAATACGATAAGGATTGTTTGTTCCCCATCCTTGACCTCTCTCAATGATCACCCCGATCATCTGAAGATCTCAGGTTCTCATATTGCATGGATGACATCAATGCTGTCTCCGCCCAGACAGGCACCCCATGGGAAGTTTCCAAGGACATCCAATTCTGCTCCAACCCACCCCACACAGGCTTCACATGGGACCTCAATGACCACATGATTGAAATCCCAGACAGCAAGATGAAGAAATACCTAGCTACCATTTTAATATGGGAGTCCCAGCCCCATCACGTCCTCTTTGAAGTACAGAAACTACTCTTCACCAATCCACTGTCAGCAGACCCATCCTGGGACCCTGCACTGTTGCCGACCCCAATGCCTTCTCTGATGCTAGCTCAGGCGTGGGCATCGCAGTTTGGATCAACAGTTGGTGGCACACTTGGCGCCTTGTACCAGGATGGAAAGCCAACAGCTGCGACATTGACTGGGCTGAAGCCATTGGTTTCAAACTCCTCATCCTCAGCATCATCCAAGGATCACAACCCAACCCAATTCCTTGCTTCAAGGTTCATGGTGACAACAGAGGAGTTGTTGAAGGTTGGTGGAAGGGGCGCAACCGAAATTGCCCCACCAACGCCATGTTCAAACACATTCACACTGCCACTCAATCTGCTCCCTGTCTTGTCCTCACACACTATGTCCCTAGCGCTCTCAACCCTGCAGATGACGTGTCTCATGGAAAATACCCCTCATGCTCCTTTTTTCTGCCCCCCATTCCTATCCCTCCCCCTCTCAGGGACTTCATCATCGACTTCAACACCCCTCTACATGCCAACAAGCTCAGGATGACCCATGAGTCAGTTGCGATTCTTGCTCCCAGCAAAGCCCGTTGTGCGTGCCAAGACACCAAGCGGGCCCTCGAGAACCGAATCCTCGAGTGGCAGGGAGAAGAGCTCTTCCAAATGGCACAAATATAGTACATCCCCACAAGTACTATGAGACTCCCAGAAGACACTTACTGACCTCACCCAGCCTATCCACCTGACCTCAACCTGCTTCCCTCCATTCTCTGTCCACATTGTCCAGCCAAGCTCCACCTCCGCCTCTGGATCCCACATGCACCAAGATCTAGACCAAGCACTCTCCTACCAGATGACATGACTCGCATCCAAGACGTCATGTGCCACACCTGGGCCTGAGAGCACCCATGAATCCTACGGCTCTGGACTCCTCGTGTTCCATGTATACTGCGATTCCTGCTCAATCCCAGAATGAGACCGCACCCCTGCTTCTTCAACCCTCATATCCGCATTCATCGCTTGCGCAGCTGGCTCCTATTCAGGCAAAACAATCGAAAATTACGTATCCAGTGTCTGTGCCTGGCACATCCTTGACGGCATAGACTGGCCCCTTAATGACGTCCAAATCATGATGCTTTGAGAAGCATCAGAGAGTCTCACCCCACACACGTCAAAATGCAAGAAACACTGTCCCTACACCACCGAATTCATCTGCTCTCTCTGTGAGCAGCTGAACCTCAAACTGCCACTTGACATCTCAGTGTTCAGCTGCCTGACAACCCTATTCTACTGTACTGCTCACATAGGAGAATTCACAGTCCCCACCCTCTCCTCCTTCGATCCCAACATCCATGTCAAACCATTGGACATGCAGATCAAACAAGATCACAACAACTTCATAATGAGAGTGTTCTGCATCCCTTGCACCAAGACCTCCAGAGAAGGGGAGGATGTATCCTTCGCCCAGCAGAACGGCCCCTCAGACCCTAAACACGCACTTCTCCAGCACCTACAAGTCAATGACCCTCCGCCAGCAGGAGCTCTATTCGCTTACCGTTTCAAGAACAGTCACCACCCACTGACCAAAATAAAATTCATCAAATGCCTGGCCCAGGCAGCCAAAGCAGCAGGTCTAGACCCTCTGCAGGGTCATGGCATCCGCATAGGGTCTACACTCGAATACCTACTCTGCAATATCCCCTTGAAGTTGTCAAAACAAAAGGTCGCTGGGCTAGCGACACATTCCAGATATATCTACAAAAGCATGCACAGATCATGGCCCCATACATGCAGGCCATTCCAAGTGTTCACGAAGATTTCCTTCATTTTTCGCTGCCCAGAAACACCTGACCCAGTCCCACATCGTGAGTCCCCTCCTCCTACTATGGTGGTGATCTTCAGCTTCACTGTAATGCGTCGTCACAGACTCCTATTATTTCAGGGGATTCACAGCTCACCTTTCTCTTGGGCAGATCTCCAATCAGGGCCGGTCAGTGCTGCATGCTTTCACCCATTATCTTAGTTCTCGGTACACCTTGCTCCTCGTAGTACAGTTATGAATATATTTGTCTCGCAAATACTCTCGTTGCAAAGCGCTATAGCGACAACCAAAGACTGAGGAAGGCCAACTTAGTGCTGATGCACCTGATGTGTCTGATGCAGAGTCTGAGTCTTCTGACTCCTCTGATGATGTGGTCGTCTATGAGCATAAGCCAGCAGACTGGATCAATAGGACACAAGGAAACTCAAGGAAGAGACAATGAGACAATGACGATGATGTGATCGTCTTAGACCACAAACCAGCTGACTGGATTGACAGGCCACTGGATGTGAGGAAGAGGAGGCACAAAGACTTGAGGCAGGCTGATTAGCAGAATAACAACCAGGCTGTGAAAGTAGCTAGTTCAACAATAGGTACTCAACTAAACAAAGTATGGGATCATGCACCGCACTGCTCTCGAATTGCATGATGCGTCTCACTGATAGTTGGTCTCTTACCTACAATTTTGTAGCATACACATACCAACCAATATTAGTCTATTACTCAGAGACACGCTTGATGAGTGCAATGCACTCTGTGTTGCTGATGGTCAATTTTCTGTTTTGCAGGGGGATGTCAAGATTTATACAGAAATGACAAAGTTTCGTGTAATAGAACTTTCCCTTAGCCATACCACCCGGACTACCTCTGCAATAATTAGGCACCGCCAAGTGTATCGATGGAGAAGTGGGTTCCAACATGTTGTCGTCTAATGCGTCTTCATGAGTGCAGTTATGGCAGCATATGTCCAACTCTTATGCGACTGGGGATGAGTGGTGCGGGGAGTAGCTAGGACTCCCTAGAGATATGATAACAGCATTAAGTGAGAAACTAATATGAAGAAAAGATACAGACAGACCTAATGTCCTCCCTCCAAAGCACTAAGGAGGGAGATTGGGGAATAGTGTTGGAAGCAGAGGTCCAGGCAGCACAATGAGTTGTGCGGGGAGTATGTAGGACTCCCTAGAGTGAGATAATAATGGTGTTAAGTGAGAACGCAATGTGAAGAAAAGATACAGACGGACCTTGCCCTCATCCTCCCTGTAGAGTGTAAAGGTGGAAAATTGGCAAATGGCATTGAACACAGAGGTCCGGGCAGTGCAATGAGTTGTGCGGGGAGTATGTAGGACTCCCTAGAGTGAGATAACAATGGTGTTAAGTGGGAAAGCAATGTGAATAAAAGATCCAGACAGACCTTGCCCTCCTCCCTGTAGAGTGCGAAGGCGGAAGATTGGCAAATGGCATTGGATGCAGAGGTCCGGGCAGCGCAATGAGTGGTGTGGGGAGTACATTGGATTCTCTAAAGTGAGATATTAACAGTGGTAAGTGAGAGGCCAACAGGAAAAACAAGATACAGATGCACCAAGTCTCCCTCATCCTTCCAGAGCGCCAGAAAAGAAGATTTGGGCATAGCGCAAGACAAGAAGATGTGGGAGATGGGGTTTTTCTTGCAGGTTCATTGTTGTGTTAGTGACGATCTACACAATGTAATACAGTACTCACCTCAGCCATTCAGCGAAACGACTGAGGGAGAAAATAAGAGGCAAGTGATGCTAAGTATCTGACAGTGCGTTGGATAGAGAGGTAGTGAGTGGTAGAGATACATGCCTCGTTGAATATGTCTGAAGAGCAAAGTGAGCTTCCTGCATTTGCGCCTACAAGAAGCATTAGTAAGATTATGAATATTGACCGTATTGCTGGTGATGCTAGATGTTGTTGTTAGCATTCATGCCACACAAGCGAGAAACATGTCTCTTCTGTGCAACACTCACTACATGTCTCCAGTCAAACCCATTGCCGAATTACAGCAGTACAAGCAGAAGTGGAAGACCCGCTGTGGTAAATGAAGCACTGAGAGTAAAGGACAATGGCTAAAGGTATACCTGGACAATGTCCAAGGTAAGACAGTTGCATCACTGGAGGCAAAGTGGGGTGAGTACTATTCATATGAGTCTTCTGACAACATTATTAACCTGTCATGGTCGACTTAAGCGGAGGAGACATTGAAGATTTATCCTGGAGACTTGGTGCACGCAGCAAAAAACAAGTTACACATTGATCAACTTGTGCAACAGCAGTACCCCCAAGGCCTTTCAGCATCTCAACTACCTCTATTTGATCCTGATGACTCCTTCTTCCTGCTGCCACCCGAGGATGCCCACATCAGTAAACCACAATGGTCTGTACAGAGCTTCCCAGAGCTCCACAGCAGCCCTCCAGTTACACAGAACCTTCCCAAACATATTAGAAATTGCTTTTTTCATTTTTATATTAACTCAAGTCAAACATGTAAAATTAAATTTAAACAAATGGATTGCAAAAGAAGCAACTACTCTACTGGACTCATCAATACAAACAGTGAGTAAGCATGTGAGATAATCAAAGTGTGAGAGTGTGAGAGAATGAGTCGTCATCATAGTTGTAGTCATTCGTTGTTGTCATGTTGTTGTTGTGTCATGTTCTCGAGTTGCTGTCGTTGTCATGATAGCGCTGTCATAAAGACAAGTTGTTAGTAATGTATATATAAATGAAAATGAAAAAATGCACCTATTGCGCGCGCCGCAAACAAACAAGTGCAAACACAAAACAAGCATGAAAATACTAGTAAGTAATGTACATACATACATACATACATAAAAAAACACACCTTTGAGTGGTGAGAAAGATGGGCAAGAGACAGGGCATGATGTGGCACGAGAGATGGGCAAGAGATGGGGTGAGAAGACAGGTGAGAGATGGGGCACGAGAGACAGGTGAGATGGGGCATGAGAGACGGGCAAGAGACAGGGCGAGAGATCACACAGGATAAGAGAGATGGCATGTTGCACGGGGTGAGAAAGACAGGGTGAGAGATGGGGCACAAGAGACAGGTGAGAAACGGGGCATGGGAACACCAGAGATGAGGCGAGAGACAGGGGCAAGAGACAGGGCATATGAGCACAAGAAAGGTGGAAGTAGTTAGTGCCAAGTCTGCTGACTGTGCCGAGAGAGTGGGAAAGGGTGGTTAAGGTAAATATAAGCAAGCAGTAATAAGAAAATAAAGAAAATAAAAGACTTACTTGAAGGATGGCAGTGGTGCAGGTAGAAGTTAAGAGTCGAAGTGTAGAACAAAGACTTCTGAAAATTTCGACAAGTTGAACAATGACTTACATCAGCATTGCCAAGTTCTGTGAGGTTCTGTGGTGCTGTGAGAGCTGTGAAAATTAGCAAACACTGTGCAAGGTTTAGTAGTTTACTGGTGCAGGAAGCCTGTCGTCCACTGCACCCTTTGTTTATGGCAGCGAGGTTTGAGCATGTCATTGCTAAGCCTGTGTTATGACCGATGTCCAACAATAATGTTGAAGGTGAGTGCACAACCACTAGGACTCGGTCAGAGATGATGATGAGCAACAGGATAGATTTGAGTGTGAACGTCTAGGTCACTACAACAGTAGAAACAAAGAGGTTAAGTCTAAGGAGTACTTACGCTAACTAGCCTACTCTTATACATAACATTGAATAGGAGTCTGAAAGAAATCAGCCAATAAGAAAAGAGTCGTATGACTACTGTGGATGACTAAAGATGACTCATGATATATATAAGCGAATGAGTAAGACGGCAACTAAACAGAAACCCAAGTTCCGACCGGTTCTTCTTTGGGAAGCGAGATTGTTCTAGCCCGTGGAGTAGGGGAGCCAATCGGAGAAGCAACGGGTGACCTATGATGAGGAGTCACGTGACCGGCTCGGGTACTGGAAGTAGCCGAAGGAAAACCGAGAAATGAAAAATGGTTCGTATTAGGAATTCGTGACATTACCCCCTTTCTAGGATGAGCATCCTCGCGAATGTAAGATGGTCGTATATTGTATATTTTTCTGTCTCCATTCGAGGAAGTCAGGGGTCGTTAGAATTGAAGCGGAGATTTGCGCTGATTTAACCGCATTTGGGTTTTCTGCATAAAAGTCGGCTACAATGAGCGGCGCATTCTTCACATCTTCTTCTGACTGCCATGTTGCTTCTGCTTCTGCATATCCTTTCCATTTTACTAAATACTGCAACTTGCACCTGTATAGGCGGCTTTGCAATATTTGCTCTGCTTCATATTCTGGGACTTGATCAACAATATCCGGCGGCGGATGCGTTAGAGGTGGGCGATCAACGAGTTGAGAGGTTTGATGTGGGGTGAGTAACGACACATGGAAAACTGGATGGACACGATATTTAACCGGGAGCTTCAACTTGTAGTTTAGCTCGCCAGTCTTCTCTTCGATTTCGAATGGTCCCAGATGGTGGTCGGACAATTTTTGGCTCGGACGGCGTTGTTTGATGTTTGTCGTGTCTAACCATACCTTGTCGCCTGGTTTGAATTCTGGTGCGTCTTTTACTTTATGATCATAAAAGCGCTTCATTCGATCGTTCGCTATTTCCAGCATTGCCTTCGTCTCTTCTTGTGCCTCCTTCATCTCAGCTACTCTCTGGTCAGCATGGGGAATCGTGTTGGAAGAATTAGGGGAAATCGTAAACTCGGGATTATATCCGTAGACACATTTGAATGGGGAATGTCCAGTGACGGTTACTGAGTTGTTATGCGTGAATTCAGCAATTGGAAGCCAAGAAACCCAATCATTCTGACGGTAGGATGTGAAGAGTCAGAGGTACTGTTCGACTTCTTGATTGACTCGTTCCGTCTGTCCGTCAGTCTGTGGGTGATATGCTGTTGACATGGACCACTTGGTTCCTAGTCATTTCGAGACTTCCTGCATGAACTTGGACACAAACTGTGTTCCCCTATCTGAGATTACTTTCTTCGGCGTCCCATGTAACTTCCATACGTGATTGAGAAATAAGTTCGCAACTCCTTTAGAATCAACATCCTTGGTGGTCGGAGCAAGATGCGCTTGCTTCGTGAAACGATCAACGACTACCAAGATACTGTCTTTGCCCTGGGAGATGGGTAGATCGGTGATGAGGTCACAGCTAATGGTTTGCCATGGCCCTTCTGGAACCTCGTTCGGCTTCAAAGGTCCGTGGGGTTTTGACGATAGCACCTTCATCTGCTTGCATCGATCACATCCATCTACGTAGTCATTGACCCATTTCTGCATCTGGGGCCACCAATAGTTCTGCGAGACAAGCTCAAGAGTCTTGGCACGTCCCATGTGTCCTGCTGCAGGTGAGTCATGGAAGATCTCTAGCACTGAGCGACGAATTTCCTTATTCTTGGGAACGTAAACCAACCCTCGGAACAAAATAAGTCCATTCTCCGTGTTCCACTCTTCCAATCCTCTTCTCAACTGCACAGGGGCTTTCTTCAGAGTTTCGATAGCATTTTGGACTTCCGGATCTAAATCAGTGCAGTTTCTGATACGCTTCAACAGCGAATGCTCTCCTATCAGAATCTGACCTCTTTTTGCAGCTTTGATATGAAAAAACTCAGGTTTCAAAAGCACGCAATCGGAATTGTCGTTTTCTACCCCCCCTCTGTGGTCTGGCCTCCTGGACAGAGCGTCGGCAGTGTCATTAACCTTTCCCGGTTTGTGATGCAGAGTGAAGTTGTACTCTGCAAGGAACAAGGACCATCTTGCCTGTCTGCGAGTTAACTTCTGGCTCGTCATGAAGTACTCGAGGTTTTTATGGTCCGTCCAGATCTCTACCGGATGAGGTGTGCCCTGCACATAATGCCTCCACTCTTCCAATGCGCAGATGATGGCTAAAAGTTCTTTGTCATGAATGTCATAATTACGCTCTGCATCTTGCATCAATTTGCTGAAAAAGGCCACTGGGTGCCATAGTCCGTCTTCTTCCAACCGAGAAAGTACACCACCAGTAGCATAGTCAGATGTGTCGCTCTCTATCTTTTGTTTTTTATTTGCATCTGGCATAACTAGCACTGGTGCGGAAGTGAACCTGTCCTTCAGAGTTTTGAAAGCCTTCTCTTGCTTGTCCGTCCATTCCCATGGTACATCCTTTCTGATGAGTTCATTCATGGGTCTGGCAATGTTCGAGAAACCGAGAATGAATTGACGATAAAAGTTCACAAATCCCATGAATCGCTGAATGTCTTTGACACAGGTGGGAGTGGGCCATTCCTGAACTCCCTTAACCTTGACCGGATCCATAGAGACATGTCCATCCTTGATGATCAAACCGAGAAACTCCACTTCCTTCTTCTCAAAAGAACACTTCTCCGGTTTGAGATAGAGATCATTGTCCTGCAACCTTTGTAATACCTCGCGCACCACCTTCCGATGTTTCTCTACATCACCGTTGGTGAAGACCAAGATGTCGTCGATGTAGACTACAACAACCTTGCCTTCCTTTAGATCTTGGAAGATTTGGTCCATCATAGTTTGGAAGGTAGCTGGGGAGTTCGTCATGCCGAAGTACATTACGACTGGTTTGTGATGTCCGAAAGGAGTTTTGAAGGCGGC